GCATACAAAAGCCTTGGTTGCAACATGTCACTAAAGATACATTTTTTGCACTCTCATCTAGATTTTTTTCCACCCAACTGCGGAGCAGTGAGCGACGAGCACGGCGAGTGATTTCACCAGGACATTGCAACAATGCAGAAATGCTATCAGGGCAAATGGAGCCCATCAATCTTGCAGACTATTGCTGGACAGTGACAAGAGATGCTCCATTTAATGAATACAAGAGACAAGCCAAGAAGCGCCGAGTAGACACTGAATAGGACTAAACTATGTACATAATAGTTTTTTGCCTTTTGTTTCATAATAAATTTTATTTATATAACCCTTTTGCTGATTTTTAAAGTGTTACATAAACAGGACAGGTGAAATATTATCATGTAAAGCAACCATAAACACATGAAAAGACCTAGGTTTACAATTTATGATTAAAACTCTACTATCTACACAATATACATAGACATAAAATGTAAAAACTTAAATATCTTAGAAACAGTACCCAATCAGTTGTTTTAATTGTCATATTTGAATTCAGCACATCAAAATACATAATAAATAGCACATTTTATCTCTGAAGCAGACGACTTCTCAAAAATTGTAGACCAGTGTTATCCATCAAGACGTGGAAGGCTGAAACAACTGCCATATGCATCCTTATACATCTAATAGTCAAACTCTGTTTTAGATCTAGAAGATAGTCCAGGGGTGTCCACTTCTGGAGAAGTGCTTCCACTTAGCCAGGTAACTGTTCCTAGTTGACAGTTTTCAGGGGATGGCCTTGACAGACCTGGCACAGACTCCGGAGGTGACAATCCTCTCTTGGGAGACACAGCATTCCAGCGGGGTCTCTCCCCTGAACACTTTGAGTGTCTACCTCTGTCTGGCTTCAGGACCGACTCAGTTCAACAAGGAACTGAACTTGAAAAAGGCCTAAGCCTTTTCTTCAGTATGAGGGAACGGTCCTGAGGATCAGCCGGCATCTCCAATGAAGCGCTCTGTATCGAAGTTGATAAACTTGGGGCAATTTCTCCATGTGAGAATTCCAACAGGGGTCAAAGTGCTGCGTCCTTAGGCAAGCACATAAGCCTCCCCACCCTGTTTTTTTTGAGGGGGGCTTGAATCTTTGCAAATGTGACATTTGTTACTAACATGGGATTTCCCCAAACATTTCAAGCAGGCCAGATGTGGATTGCTGACTGGCATGGGCTTTGCACAGGTTCAGAAGGACTTAAATCCCACCAAATGAGGCATCGTTCTGGTACTGATATTGGTACCAAAAGATAAAAAGTTGTCAAAAAAAAAAAAATCACAAAAACGGAAACCTAGCACTAAAATTGTCTGAACTAACTATAACTAAAACCACTAATCTACAACAAATAGGATCTTTATTCAGAAAGGAGAGGAAAGCACTTGAATTAACAAGTCTGGATTGCTCCAACAACTGTCACTGGCGGTAAGAAGGACCTGAGGTGTGTCAGGGACAGCTCTGCTCCCTTTTACCAGCATGCAGTGTGGCGATAGAAGATGCTTGAGCCATCCTTATGGGTACCACTCAGGGGAAAAAATCTCAGACATTTATGCAGGTGCATAGTTTTGGGACCAAGGAGGCTTTCCCCCGAATGGTATAGTAACTATAACTACTAAGCTAAAATATAAAACTATTTACAATGAGTTTACTTTACAGGTAATGCATGGAGTGAAGGAAGACATGATTCTGACTCAGGTCATGTGGAGGCAAGAAGGAACTGGATCCTCTTCTACCCTTGAAATATGAGGGAAGCTACTGTGTATATGTGGGTCAACGGATGCTGAAAAATTTCTGGACTCATAGGGAGCAGCACTCAAAGAATATATATTTAGACATTTCTACAATAAATATTAACTACAGTAAAAGTAGAGAGAAATATTCATTTTACTCAGCATTTCCAGCAACAGCTCTCTGCACACTACTCTTTGCAAATGTGCTAGTTGCTGCTACTGTATGTTGCGGAATGCCAGGTGCTAAATACTTCTATTTTTAATATGTTTCTGTAGTTATCTGAGACCAAAGAAGTTTTAACTTTGTATCATTGGTAAGAATTACAAAGTCAGCCATTTTTCACAATGAAGTCATGCACACCAACTCCTAAATTAACCCAGCAGAAAATTCCTCCAAGACATTATCCCTGCACTGCAGCCACCATGATTGCAAGAGAATACTGTGGCTTTAGGAAAGCAGCATCGCTTTAGGGTGGAATTTTGATATTACATTCATTTCAGAGTCATGAACAACAAAGTTGTCATGAACGACACACACACACACACACACACACACACCAACAACAACAACAACAACAAAAAAAAAAAAAAAAAAAAAAAAAGGGACATGCCTGGGTTGCAGGACAGCAATATAAAGCACTGGAGTAGTAGCTCATGAGTTCCTAGTCAATTATTAGTATGCTCATTTCAATAGTTGGAAAACTCAGTGAGACTATATCGTCCTGTGATTTCCAGTCCATTTTATAGTAATGCTTCAAGATAGAAACAGCTATATAAATATGTAATATTTACAGTAAGAATTTAAATACATCATTATCATCACAGCGTTTAAGAGCTGTAGTGATAGACGAGGACCCAATTGTGCTAGCACCATAAAACAAAGAACAAAACGAAACCTGGGCAGGATTTTAAATTTATAACCTTATAAACCTTGCACTAGAACCTTTGATTTTCAAGTATCTGTGTTTAAATAATCAACCGTGTTCTGCATTGAACTTTTACAAATAAAGATGAAAAGAAGAGAAAAAATAAACAAAGGGATCACCTCCTTCACAGTCAAATATATGTTTTAATGCACAACATAAGGAACAGCATATTCAAATAAACAAGTCTGGCAAAGTTGTTAATAAAAGAAGGAGGGAGCCTGAACACTTGCCACTCAGAAGAGACAGGATAATATGGTTTGGCAACTGCATGGGGTTTTGATGATAGCAATATCAAATTATGCTTAGAATGTTTATTTGGACCGTACAGTTGAAGTTTCAGGTTGAGTGTTTACTGTTCAGTCCACTATAACTCAGTGGGAAGGGGTATATACAGGGGAATATGCCAATAAAAAGATTTGACAAGCTTACCCAAACTGAAGCTTAAATGAATGTCTCCTTTTATATTTTCCCAATGTAGGTACCAATAACCTTTTTTCTATACTGTTCGGCCTATTTTATCATTAATATAAAGCAGGGCTGTCAAGCGATTAAAAAAATGTATTGCGATTAATCGCATTGTTAAATAGAATACCATTTATTTAAATATTTTTGGATATTTTCTACATTTTCAAATATATTGATTTCAATTACAACACAGAATACAAAGTATACAGTACTCAGGTTATATTTATTTTTGATTACAAATATTTGTGCTGTAAAAAAAAAAGTATTTTTCAATTTACCTCATACAAGTACTGTAATGCAATCTCTTTTTCATGAAAGCTGAACATACAAATGTAGAATTATGTACAAAAGAAATTGCATTCAAAAATAAAACAATGTAAAAGTTTAGAGCCTACATGTGCACTCAGTCCTATTTCTTGTTCAGCTAGTCACTCACACTCAGACAAACAAGTTTGTTTACATTTGCAGGAGACAATGCTGCCCACTTCTTGCTTACAATGTCACCTGAAAGTGAGTACGGGTATTTGCACAGCACTGTTGTAGCCGGCGTCGCAAGATATTTACATGCTAGATTCGCTAAAGATTCATATGTCCCTTCATGCTTCAACTACCATTTCAGAGGACATGCTTCCATGCTGATGACAGGTTCTGCTTGATAATCCAAAATAGTGCGGTCCGACACATGTTCATTTTCATCATCTGAGTGAGATGCCACCAGCAGATGATGAAAATGGTGGTTCGGGTTCTGTAGTTTCCGCATCAGAGTGTTGCTCTTTTAAGACTTCTGAAAGCATGCTCCACACCTCGTCCCTCTCAGATTTCGGAAGGCACTTCAGATTCTTAAACCTTGGCTTGAGTGCTGTAGTTATCTTTAGAAATATCACATTGGTACCTTCTTTGCGTTTTGTCAAATCTGCAGTGAAAGTGTTCTTAAAACGAACAACATGTGCTGGGTCATCGTCCGAGACTGCTATAATATGAAATACATGGCAGAATGCTGGTAAAACAGAGCAGGAGACATACTATTCTCCCCCAAGGAGTTCAGTCAAAGTTTAATTAACACATTATTTTTTTAAACGAGCGTCATCAGTATGGAAGTATGTCCTCTGGAATGGTGGCCAAAGCATGAAGGGGCATACGAATGTTTAGCATATCTGGCACATAAATACCTTGCAATGCTCGCTACAAAAGTGCCATGCGAACACCTGTTCTCACTTTCTGGTGACATTTGAAATAAGAAATGGGCAGCATTATTTCCCATAAATGTAAACCAACTTGTTTGTCTTAGCAATTGGCTGAATAAGAAGTAGGACTGAGTGGACTTGTAGGCTCTAAAGTTTTAGATTGTTTTGTTTTTGAGTGCAGTTATGTAACAAAAAAAATAACTGACATTTGTAAGTTGCACTTTCAAGATAAAGAGATTGCATTAAGGTACTTGTATGAGGTGAATTGAAAAATACTATTTCTTTTGTTTATCATTTTTGCAGTGCACATACAGTGTAATAAAAATATTATAAAGTGAGCACTGTACACTTTATAGTTGGTGTTGTAATTTAAATCGATATATTTTAAAATGTAGAAAAACATCCAAAAATAGTAAATACATTTCAATTGGTATTCTATTGTTTAACAGTGCAATTAAAACTGCGATTATTAGCCCTTATATAAAGACTAATTAAATATCAGACTAAAATATAATTATGAGGTTTTTTTTTTTAAAAAAGACTTAGCAGAAACTAATGATGAATCTATAGTATTGGTGATAACTAAACTATTTGTCTAGTTCTGTAACTAAGTCCTTCACTTCCATACACTCTTTGCTACAGAAATTAAGATGACAACAACTTATCCTACCGTTTTCTAGAGGAGCAGGTGCAGATGACTCCAACCTCATGTCGTCTTGGTCATGTCGTGTATGATTAGCAGCCAAACTAGCCCACTGGGACACCCAACGTTTATTTCCAGATGCAGCAGAGCCTTCCTGAGAAAAAAAGAAATAGGACAAGAAACAGCAGATTTTGCTTAAAAGTATGTGATATAAAGTTGATAAACTGGTATATTATCAAAACACAGGTGTGTCTGAAATCAATTATTTTCATGGAAAGTGCAAATATTAAAGGAACTCATTTTAATTTATTTTGGAGAATCCTAATGTTAATACTGGATTGACAGTCTTAAATCCTTTATTGCTCTAGACAGATGCAGAACAACTACAGGCTGGGCAGTGGTTCCCAACATTTTCCCACTGTGATGAATATTCAAACAATATATATTATGTGAAAGAATATATGCCTAGGTGAAACGAGATTATTTCATTCCTGAACTTAGAGGAATTTGTTGACAAAGGTAGAGCTAGCAGGCTTTAACCACTCAAAAATTAATATATTTTTTCCAGGGGGAAAAAAAACCCAAAAGGGCAAGGCAGATATTTTCTCCAGAGTAAAAAGGAAGCTATTAAATTGACCCTGACAGGAAGACTAGTTTAAGGATTGGAGAAGCCAGATAACTTGGAGTACTTCAAAAAATAATGGGTATTAATAGCATATGTAAACATAATTGCTGGAAGATAAAGGTGTCTGGAACTGTATTTCTATATGAAAATGTGAAGTGACTGGAAAAGGTATCTGGCTTTGTAAATTATAAATAAACTGTATCGTTAAAGTCCAATAATATAGTTTCATGTATGAACCAAAAGACTGAATTGCATTTTTGTAGCCAAAACAAAGGAAGCTGAGGACATTTTTTAGTTTAGATAAAAATTAAATGATTGGGTTTACAAGATAACCAGGATTGTTTTAGAGGTATCACTGTTGTCAATGTAAGGAATCAATGATCTGGAAAGAACAGGGTCATAAAAGATAGTATCCTGAGAGAAACTATGCTTGAATAGCTTTGATTTCTATTTACTTAGCTTTCCTTTTTAATCAAAGTTTAGACTTTTAAAATTAGGCTTATATACAGGACATGTCCTTATGTCTATGTGTTGAATTATATGACTCAATTTAATTTTACTGTTGTATAATTTAAGATTATTCTGGAAAAGGTCTCTAAATATGCAAATATAATACCACTATTTCATCTAACATACTGCAGCATCACTGTCTGTGCATCTCACTCATTCACATAGACAAACAAAAATCATATGTCCAAAGGCTCTACTGAAGTCAATGAAGACTAATAGAATGGATAAGGGGGTCGGGGGGAGGAGGGGATTGTGTGCAGGGAATTCATCTTTAAGAGTCTAAAAAGAACAATTTTATTGACAATTTACATCTCCAGTGAAGATGGGTAACTCTAGCTAGACAACATAGATTAAGGTAGAGGAACTGAGACCCACAAATGTACCTCATGAAGAATCTGGATGAGCTACCTGCACTCTTGAGAGTTTAGCTGAATCTCCATTGTCCACTGAATTCTTCGCACTTCCAATCAGAGTGCCAGTTAGGGTATATTGTGATGGTCATTTTCCCACTAGGAACTGGACTGAGATTCCTACATATTTCATCTAAATCATCTGACAGTCCTGAGACATTAGCAAATATCAGCAAACTATTTTACTGAGTGTCTAAAGTAAAAGGTTCTATATTCTATTGACAATTTTGAGTCAACCCCATCCACTCAATCCTTCTTTAAATGTTTAAAACCCCAAATCATTAATTTGTTTAGACTTCACACATAGAAATAATACATTTTAAAGAACAAAACAACTGAAAATCATTCTCTCATTTAATTGTCAAGATTTGAATTCATGGTACTGAATTGCCCCTGCTGATGCAGTTGACATCATTAACACAAAAGAGTGCAAAGAATGCTAAGAATCTAGCTTCCAACACTATTTTAGGAATGTGAAATGCAGGAGGAACCCATCAACCTGATCTTTGCCATTAGACAAACTTCAGCAATTTGAATTCATTTTTCAAAATCAAATGTTACAAGTTTCAGTTCTACTTATAGAAAATTAAGGCAATTTTTCATTCACTTTAAGTGTGTGTATTACTGGCCACAATGGAGAAGAAAATGATGGCAAGAAGAATGACAGATCTTTCTACAACAGTTCATATATTGTACTGAATTATATAAATAACTTACAGTATTTAAAGACTAATTGAAGAGACTTTTGTTAACATCTAAAGACTCATCTTCCTTTTTGGTTTACCCTAAACTTTATTTACTTCATTTTCCCCTGTTCCCATTCACAGTATTGTTTTTATTACAACACAAACTCCTGCCAAAATATGATGTAGAGATCAATTAACCACCTGTGAACCATATGCTAAAGGGAAATCTGAGTAGCTCAGCTTATACTACCCGTAAACCCAGGAACTTAATCACCTTTATCAGAAGTCTGAACTCTATCAGTTTGTGGAATAGGATATTATGGCCAGCTTTCGCAGACCCAAAAATTAATTATAACAAAACGAGCTTTATATTTTACTTTCAGAAGACAATTAAATTAGTTACACTGCCAACATATAACTCCTACTTTTTATGTAGTATTCAGGGCTACAGGTTATGTTGCCAAACCTCTGCTATAGTATTGTGTTGTGAAGATAGTCACATTATTCAGCTTCCCTTCCTTCTTAAATTTCTACTACAATAACGAATAGCTTACCAAAAGTGATAAAGTTACAAAATAGTTTTATTTTTAAGTCTAACATACGTCACCATGGTGGAAAACATCCAATAGGACACACACACATATCAAAAAAATAAAGTTACCAATCCTATAGTTATTCCTATAAGAAGTCGTACCAACAGCCTCTCAGACTTCCAAATCACCAGGGAGACATCCTCTGAGCACCATCTTATGTTGCATAAGGAGTTTCCAAATCCCCCCGTCTTTCAGACAGTTTCAGATTTAAATTTGAGACTGTGACTCTCAAGCTATTCACATTGACCCAACTTTCCCTTATTCACTCCTTTTACCTCCATCCCCAATGAACTGGAGCATCAAATAACCCCTTACTGTGACTTTTAGCTCTAAACTCCATAGAGAGCAGCATATCTTCAGGTAAGATTTATGGACTATACACCAAAGGGTTGCTACGGACAAGCTTCAGGTTTAAAGGACATGGCTGAAAAACTCCTACAGTACATAACATAGAACACCTTAAGTCACGCCAGAGCAGTTTTTTTAACCAAACGGAAAAAAAGTAACTACCAGATATTCCAGGCTGAGTGCTTTGGCTATAGGAATGGGTCAGAGAATTTATTGACATCCAAATGGTTTGTTTTGAAGGGTCGAGGAGTTAATGCAATGCAAGTATAAATGATAAAAATAAAACCTTTATGAAGCATAGTGATTCAACTATTCTACCTAATATGGGTACAATATGCTAATTAGTCATACAGAATATATTTACTCACACCTCAGAATATTTACTAGCTATATACTACTACTATTACTTAAGCGAGCAGAAAAAGTGAACATAGGCATTCAGAGCTGCGCAAGACCATGATATCATCAAACTGGTGCATGTGAACCCGAAAGTAGAATACCAAAATTTTAACAAGACTGCTTCCATTTTGTGCAAAAAGTAAAAGAAAACCATGAAGTAAAAGAGCAGAGACAAATTTTATGATGTTAGTATCAAAGTAAAAGATTACAAAACTGTGGTTAGTCTGAAGTAATCTTACTGCTGAAAATTATGTGCAAACTGTGGGTGAAAGGGATAAATCCTAATCTCAAACTGGTTAAGTATTCACATTAATCAAATTCATAAAAAAATTTACCTTGTTAATTATCCCACCAAAAACTCTAAATGTGCTAATAAATTTCATTAGCTTTTTTCCTTAAATCATGCTGACCTCTGGTGGCAAGTGGCTGCTGTTTAATATAGAAAATACAAGTGTTTTAAAATATTTTTTTTGAATGGTTGGAATCGGAGGCTGAGCAGGTCATTATTTATTCAATAATTATGAACTAAGCTGCAATAGTTTTAAGTTAAGAAGTCAAAGAACTACATATAATCAATCAAAATCTTTCACTCACTCCATTCTATTTTATTTTGTTCTATTCCCTCCCTCAATTTCAGCCAATCTCAGAATATTTAACCATTGTCATGAAATACAAGGTTGCTAATCTCCTCAATGAAAGGTGCTAATTTCACTCCTTCATTTGGATGTATATCTTCTTCTTGATGTATTACAAGCACTTCAAACTTAACACATCTAAGACCAAAATTATCTTTCCACCCAAAAATCGTTCTGCACCATCTGCATGACTATTGACACCACTTTCATCCTTCCAATCACCCAGACTTGCAACATGTATTATTTTTTATCCCTTTCTCCTTTTCATTCTACTCTCATATCCCTTGCCTCATCCTGCCTCTTCATCTGTGTCTCCAAAACTTATGATTATTTTTTTCTCTCTAATACGAAAACAGTTTTAGTATGTAACTTTGTACTTTAAATACTGCAATCCTCTCTCTAGTTCATCCAAAAGGCTATTGCCATGATCATATTCCCATCCCAGTATATCCAAGATGCTCTTATGACAATTCTCTTGGCATTCTTTACCCTCTCATGACTTTGCACCTTCTTTGATATCACCCTTTGTGGCTTGGAATAGCCTCATAAATAAAGCTGTGCCAAAAGCCCTCCATCTCCAAACATTTACAAACCTACTAGTTCTGCTAAGCATTCTGACTATCAAGAGACAATCTGATATTGCAAACCAAAGTACACCCAACTTTAAAACTCCAGCCGCATGTAGGGGATTTAAACCTGCCTTAAACAGGCAGATCAGGATTCCTGTGCAGGAGGGAATCCACAACTGGCATTTAGCAGCATAGGTGACTCTATACCAGCCACTCCTCACTACTCCAGCATAGATGGTGTGTGAACCTGCTCGGAATTACAGGGGGTGACACTGATCCCCAGCCAACATTATGGCCCCTAGAGGACAGTTATTAACTGGCACAGTTTGGAGCTGCTTTCAAGCTGCTCTAAACTATGCTGGGGATGGTAGACAACCCCAAGAGTATGCAACCATAAACAATTCCTTTGCAGCTCCTTATTCAGCTGTGCTCAACTTTCCCTGGTCACAGCTAAGGATTCAGCCCACGGTAATCAACTCAAATGAACAGACATAATGGAGTCAGTTTAGGAGACAGTGTCGGTCTTCATTCTGTATCTTTTGGCATTGGTTAAAATCAGGTACATGTTATAATTGTGGCATAATCCCCTTTTATCTGCAAATAAACTAACACCAGCCTAGAAACTCAAGCACAAAGAACATTACACACACAGAGACACACACACAACACTTGGCTATGTGTGCAGTTAAAGAAAAACAAAAAAAAATCTTCCCCCTCTTTAGATAGTATTGGAAGATGGAGAGGACACAAGGGAGCTGAAAGCTGAAGAAAAGGAAACAGGAAAAAACACAATAAGTCAGTGGATTTACAGCTGAAAGTAATGGAGCAGGACAAAAGAACTTGTTTAACAAGTTTTGTATTTTGGTTTATAGCATAACTATTATGAAAATAATATTCTCACAGTCACTATTCAAGCATACATTTTAGATATACTACATATGTCAACATCATGATTTCACAGTAACTAACATACCACCAAACAAGATAGATTCTGCTATGGTAGTTTCTTAGCAACTAAAAACAACTTATTTGCACTAGCAGCTTGTAAGCACACAGACACGCATCAAGGTCTTGATAAATAAGAACTTAATAAACTTCAACTGACCTCTTGCTGGACCATCTTTCACCATAAGTCCTGCCAAGGCAATTAAGAGATGCCCTTTCTTTAAGTCATGTAGATCATCATCCTGCATCAATCTGATTCTGTTCTATTTCTATTCTATTCAGGTTATCAGACTGCGCCCTTCAATCTGCTATCTGAATGCCATTCAGGAATCCAGTATTAAGTATGACAAACATCTGTCACATGGATATAACTGATTTACATATACAGGCTTAGAACTTCTAGTCCTTTGCCTAACTGACACAACCACACTGCCTTTCAGACATCTAACTTCAGTGCCTTCTCAAAGGCCAGGTCTCACTTGCGAGCTCCAACTCCGAAGATGTCCATCTGTATTTCCCTGTGACTGTTTTCAGAACTTATACTTTCTTTCTATGTGGGTCACTTAACTGCTCATGCTATATTTCCTATAACTGCACACAAGTACAAGCAGAAGGTAGCAAAGCTTAATGCCTTCAAGATTTAATTTAGCTACCTCTAACAGCAAAAGTTTTGATAAACTATAATACAATAAAACAGATGAGAAAAATCAAATTTTTAGAGACCTAAATTAATGCTTTGTATGCAAAGTCTTCTTTGGTAGCTGCTTAACACTCACAGGTCAACTATTAGTGCCCTCTCTCTTTTATTGGAAGAAAAAAGAAGACCATCAAAAATTATATTCTACCTCTGTGTCAAGAAATCCAGTTGTACTCAGTGGTCTTTTTTCTTCCAGCACTACTGTAGCAGAATTTATAGCCCAATCTTTTACTAAATCTTTCTGGTTCTCGTTGATAACAGGCCTATTATAATCCTGGCTGTCATCCACTCCAAACACCTGAAAATGAAACAAATCATTATACATATTAACCCAATGCTTTCCCGATTCAATGTTCAATTTTAATGTATGGATGGTGTCAATACTGGCATAAGTAGTCAGATTCTTCATTTTAAAATGTTTTTACATGAATCTGACCAACTAACTTGTTGTAAAGAACAGATTATAAGTTTTAGAAATAGAACAGATATTTGTCAGTTTCCCAAAATTCAGGGAAATGGTAGTTGAAATGACCAGATATGAAACAATGATTCTTCTGATCAAAATAATTAAACGGGACAAAGATAGTGGCCAAATCAGTGGCAAAACAAGAACATTTTAAAAAGTATTTGCCAGGTATTTTTTTATAAATATATTTTCAAAAACAAGAAATACATGTACTTATATTTGCTACTGGTTCCCTCAGTGTGCTATTGTTCTAATTAAAGCAATATTTCAATTTTTTTGCTTTTTCTGAAGAGTTCCCATGTTATATATCAAGTGTTCTTCAATCTCATCATGTGACCCACATCTTGAAAGAAACTATTTCTTGGACCATCTTCTCTCCCACTGATGTTTGCATGACCACCTTTCCCTAACTCTGGTGACAGAATAACATCTCTGCAGCAACTAAAGTAATTGCTTACTTAGAAAAATAATTCGGAAAATATTAAATGTGTTTTAGTTTCTTTTAATGCAACTTAGAAGGAGAAGAGTCAGCATAAGGTACTAGTCATTTTTCCATGGACCACTGGTGGATCATGGACAACAGTTTGAAAACCACTATTATAGATAGCTTGCAGTTATTTTCAAAAAAGAACTCTGTGGGGTTTGGGAAATAAATACTTTAAAGCCAAGAAACATATTATTTGGAAAATTCTGTTTAGAGAGATTTAAATTAACTTTATTACTACTTTGCTACGGGCTCCAACACTAAAACAGGATTTTTATGTTTTTCCCTCACTATAATTCTATGACATAATAATTGGCTCTTGCGATGTCCGAGGATTGTTTTGTCATAAGGAATAGGGAGCTATTTAAACAACTTCTCTGTTCTTATAAAAATGTCACTAGTAACAAAACACCACAAAAATAAATAGATATTTTTTCTAAATGCAATATTTTTCATAGTTTTGCAGAAGGTTTCTATGGATCTTTTATAAATGCTTTGGCCAGTACTAATAGATAAATCAAGATGCATTGCTAACCAAAATTCTGAACAAGTTTCTTATTTTTAAAAGTCTATAAATCAGCCAATTCACCACTAGATGGCCACAATCCATAACACTTTTTCCATACCTAAGAAAACCAGCAGAAGCCCAAGTACTGTAAAGAGGCAAGTGTTGGTTTTTGTTTTTTGTTTTTTTTTTTTTTTTTGAGTGAAAAAGAGTTTTGCAGGATTCAGCCATACAAATTCCCATTTAAGCCAATTACGTAAATTTAGCCTCTATGAGTCCACATATATTAATATTTGTGTTTTGCCAACACTTGAGAATGAGAAACCATTTTCAAATTTGTTTTATATGTTTGCACAGTATTCTAGTGCAAAGAGTTAGCCTTCCACCTGATTCTATTATTTATACACAGAACATGCCTAAAATTCAAAATTAATTGCTTTATTAATTTTACACTTTAATTATGTCTTGATAATCTCATACACGAGTTATTTTAGAAGCACTTGGTATATCTTTTGAACCCAAGACAGGCATGATACATGATGTGATATCCATTTCCCCTTCTCTCTCTCCATTCTCCCTTCTTTTCCTGCTGCTTTTGACTAGTGCGGGTAGATGGCAAGTTTTACAGATTCAAATAAAGTTAACTATCATGCTACCTCTTCTTTTCTTTTACTTGCTTTCTACAGCTACTTCATCTTCCTCGTTTTATTTTCAAAGAATCCTTTTGATTAACTGCTTTACAATTCTCTTTAGAAACTGAAAACAAATACGGATTATTTTATTGCATGAATGCCTGTAGAATAATGTGATTTGAATGATGCTTCACTCATACATACCTAATCAGAACTACAGGAGTAATTTGCTGCACATAAACTACTGACTATTATCGGACAATATCTGTTTACTATGCCAATGAATCTCTTCACCACTCTGCAAACACTGGTGTTTAAAATAGCTTTCCCTTTCAACATTTGGTCTTGTGGACCTGAAGCCCCAATGAAATCATTCTGCTTCTTCTGTTATGGAAATCACTGATGTGACAGGTTGAACGTTAAATTCTGCTTTGTTCTGTGAGGGTGTACTTGGGTTGGGGACAGGATGCAAGGAATATCTTCTTCTCCTTCCACACAATGGTTCTGTGAGGAGCCATAGGTAAATGCTGCTAGTAGTGCTCCCTCAGCATGAGGAGTGGAGTACTCTATAGCCCTAGGGAAGTGTCCAGTTGGATTGGGGGTTAGTACTCAGAGACAGGAAAAGGGGGAGCATAAACTACATCTTTTTTTCAGCAGCTCAGCACATTTCCTGTGTTCCAGAGGCTTGTTTTCCCTTTTTGTGTTTCTGCCCTACGTGGGCAAAATACCACATAATCCTACATCCTGAGTGTTAATACTTCTGTTCCCATCCTACCGCAGAGCTCCTCACTGGAGCAAGGATATGATCTAGCCCAATGACTGGTATTACAGGATGAAGAAAGAAGCAAGGAAAGTTCCTAAATTGTCTTAGTCTTGGATATCAGCATCTCAGTCTATTCAAAAATGAATTTCATAAAAACACTCAAAGGCATTTTTCAATAAGGATCATTTTAATGCCAAATTTCAACTTTATACAACCAACCATTTGGCTATAAAACTGGTTTTAAAAAAAATGTTACCTGAATTCTTCTCTAATGGGAAAAACTTTTTTCCCCACCTTCCCCACACTTATATGATTAAACACTTTTTGTGCAAATTTAGAAAAAAAGTAATCTTTGAGCAGAGACTTAGCCTGCATTTTGAAAGTTTCAGAAAATTAGGAGTCAACTTCAAATAATTTACAAAGTTTTTAAAAGGACAATTGGTCAAATAAGTTGAATTTTTGGAAGTCTGCTAGACTGTCATCTACTGGAAGGTTGTACACATAGTTTGGTGAACTTCACAAACAATGATAATCACCACAACCCTCTCTCCCCCATCTTCTGTCTTTCTGTGAGACAAGTAGGTGTTATCACTCACTTCACACTAAGACAGAAAGATTAAATGACTTGACCAAGGCTACAGAGGAATCTGGTGTCAGAAACAGAATTAGAATGCAGGCCCATGCTTCATCCACTAGAATACACTATCATCGCAACATTGTACTATCCCTCCAAAGTCACTGCCTGTTCAGCAAAGGAACCAGCTCATTTGCATGTAGTAAGCTATGAGGGAACATAGTAAGCTATGAGGGTCCTAGAACTCTCAGTGGTAGCCTACAATGCATTCTCCTTCCAGCTTTTCAGCTATGAGGTGACCTGAGAGCCTTCCAAATAATGCATTTTTGTTTGCATGATTCTCAAAGCAAAACTTTGGATGGCTATAATGGAAGGGTATAAAATCATAGTGGGTAAGCTTTCAACCTGAATGATCAGTTTACTTTGGTTTATGTTTCCAAGCCACCATCACAAGGCCTAGAAACTTACTTTTAAACGTTTCTTTTTTACTTTCCTAGCTCTTGTTGGGCCTCAGACGGGTCCAAAGTTCAGCTCTGTGGTCACTGCTGCTTCTGCTTTATGGGAAACCTTGAGTGTGTCATTCTAATAGGGAAATGAAAATTCTGACTCAGTCAGATACCCTATCCAGGGTCAAAACAGGTGGAGGAAAGGGAAGTGCTTTTTTATGGAAGGCCAGTACTTTTTGTCTGATGTTTCATTCAGAGCTTGAGATCCTGCAATCAGAAGGATTTATAAATTCTGATTTGTAAATCCACAGTTTATCAGATGAAGATTTCCCTCCTTAGGAGGGAGCAACTGAGTGAGTGTACTATAAAAGTATAGAATCAGGCATAGAGTTCTCATGTGCCTCCTACTGCCAACATAATTTGCATTAAGACCTATTAATCAGATGGTCCAACTCAAGACAGAAGGCAAGTCACAAACACAGGCAGTCCTGAATCTTGCTGTTTATTCTTTTGGAGCTGTCTATAGTTGCAAGGAAGACCACCAGTTCTCCTCAGCAGCAAACCACACAGTACAGGACTCTTCCATTAGATAGCAAAGTATTGTATAGCTGTACTGTATAGATAGCTGCCACTTTTCTCTGTGGTTATAGCTGGTATCACACCACCTACAAGAAAAACTATTACAGGAATTCATGGAAACAGGAGCCTCACCGCTGATGTAGCCCCAGGGAGGGCAGAAGGATGCCTGGGGAAAAAAAATTAGTTTAAGGCCTTTGAGAATTCCTTAATAAATCTAGAAGAAAACTAATCATTCTAAAATCAAACCCAAACTTCAGTTCATTTTTAGTTCCCAGAAGAAAGAAAAGGTTTACTGTATTTATTCTTCATTTGTGCTTATTCTAAAATGTATTCTAAGTTCTTCTGCTCATCTATAAAGAAAATAGAGACATTTCTAAATATTTTAAATCCCTCCCCCCCGTCACCCATTTTACTAATATTTTCATGTTTACAAGAAACTGAGAAGCACCTATAAGTTAAAGAGCAGAAGAACATAAGGCCAGATTGTTAAAGGTATTAGTGCCTAAAGATGTACATTGGCACATAGTACGATTTTCAAAACCACAATTTCAATAAGAGTTAGGCATCTAGGCACTTTTAAAAATCCCACTGAGCACCTATGGTCACAGTTCATGGCAACTGTACCTGTATTTCCCCTCAGTGCCCCAGCAAGGGCACACAATCTTGGTTTCCAGCTCCCCAGCTGTTGTCTCTCGTGGATGGAGATTGCCAATTGTGGTTGGACATATTCCTGGAGGTTTCATCATATGACATAATCTTTAATTAAAAATTAATCTTTAATTCCTGGAGATTCCAGGACAATCCTGGAGGGTTGGCAACCCTAGTGAAGACTCACATCTCTCCCTTCTG